ATCAAAGTGGGTGATGGTAAACTAACAAGTGTAGGAGCCCTGATCTAGAGCTAAATTGTTGCACATTATTCATTGAATTTTAAAAGACTTAAAGGTCAAGAAAAGATGAGAAGGATTGTTTTCCCCCCAGCCTGTGATCTGGATTGTTGACTGTGTTCACAATCCAGTATAGTTCATTTTAATGCAGCCAAGTCAAAAGTAATGCTGCTGGGCAAAAAGAAAGCACATAATAGTAAGCCCTGAAAGACTATATTCAGGCAAGCAGTGGTGCAGAAAAGGACCTGAGCATTGTGGATTGCTATCATGAGCATCTTAATATGAATTTGTGGTACAGTGCACTGTTCAGAGAAGTGAATGTCGATAAATTAATACAACAACATGCAGGAAAAAAGAGGGAGATGGTCTGGCTTTTTGTACATACCCCAGTGCACTTGTGCACAGGTGGGAGGTCAAAGAAAGGAAGCAAAAATAATCACAGCATTAAAAACAAACAGAGAAACCAGCAACTGTCTGGGTTCAGGGAGCTCTGATTTTCCATTGAACAGCACAGAGGTTGAGAAGAGTCATGTCTACGTAAGAATACCTATATATAGATAGACACATACTGCATATGAAAATATGTGTATATATATATATATACAGATGTAAGAGATCTGGTGGTTTAACGAGAATCAACGGGAAATCAGGCAGATTCAACCTTGAAATCAGAAGCAGTGCTGTAGTTAAATAGTAGTAAAACTTTGAGAGAAGAGCTGGTGGAATCATTTACAATCTTTTAAGATAAGATTAGATACTACAGTTTGTAAAATGTACTTTAGTCAAACTTCTGGGAACAATTCAGTGAGTTTTATAGACAAATTATAACTGAGTGACTGCAGTAGTTGCTTCGGGCTGTAGAGCATGTAACTCCATAAACAATATTAAAAAAAACCACATATGCAGATATGTTTCAGAAAGACAAGTTCAGTGTCTTTTGCAGGGGCCAGTGTTGTCTCTGGGTTAGCATGGCTTCATGTTACAGCTTAATTACATTTTATTGTTAATGTATGTTGTTATTATGCACAGCACTTTAAACACTGTGTGCAGAGATACTGGGTTTCAATTTTGTATGTACATGGGGTTTATTTGGATGATTCCACATATTTTTAATTGAAGAACAGGTGTTCCCTGTGAGCTACATGGGTATTCACTTACCCTGGTTTTGTATAGCGAATATATTAAACTTCCCAGTGTTTGTTTTCATTTCAGGCTTCATTCAGGAAAACTATTACTGATAAAAATCTTTGTTTCAAACAGCACAGAGTAGGAGTGCTCAGCTGCAATTGAATTTGTGAAGTGTTTCTGTTACAGCATTATCATTTTTATAGCACTCCAATGAGGGACAAAGAGAGGACTTCTCAAAGCATGCATTTTGACTTCAGGCTTGAGCCTCTTAGTTCTTTATTTTCTTAAAAGTATTTCAAATATAAATGCAGTGATAAAACCAAAGCTTTCTTGAAGATTTATACTTTTAGCTGTATATCCATCATTTTGTAGTTCTGCATTGCCAGGTACCAGTCATCAGACCTGCTCAGAACTTGCAGCTCAGTCTCTATGTGGGTATCAGGAGCCCTCTTTGTCCTTTTTTGTTTTTAATGAATTGACTTTGTATTGTAATTGCCTGGAAGAGTTTTTGTCTTGCTTCTGGTTGGAGTTAGATCAGATGTTAGGAAGAAATTCTTTACTCAGAGGGCAGTGAGGCACTGGCACAGGTTGCCTACAGAAGCTGAGGATGCCCCATCCCTGGAGATGTTCAAGGCCAGGTTGGAGGGAGCTTGGAGCAACCTGATCTAGTGGAAGGTGTCCCTGCTCATGACAGGGGATTGGAATGAGATGACCTTTAAGGTCCTACATCCAGTTTGGTGTGTGCTTCTGAAAGGAACAGTCATGGAGGACAGCGTGCAGATGTTTTTGAGGACAGAGGGGGGAGATCTGTCATGATACAACTTTCTAGAATATTAAGAGTTCTGGTTTGCCTTACAAAAATATCATCTGGGCTTGGAGATGTTCCTAATCCAGTGGCAGACGGAAGTCAGTATTGATCCATAGTCATTTGTGTTGGCTATGGGAGCAGAATCATCAGGGACTGCATATGCAGGCTGGCAGGGATGTCCTTTGGCTTGATGATCCAAGAGAGATCAGAAGAGAAATGATTCAGCTATCCAGCTGAAGGAATTTTGGCATGCTGCTTGGGCCCAGGGATAAATACTAAATACGTACCTTATGCCTATCTGAGAAAAATTCTTTCCAGATTCGATGTAGCGTATTCCCATCTTGGTGTGGTGGCTGTCAAAGTCTCCAATGTACAGCTGGGCAGTTCATGCATGGAAGAACTTGTTGCCTTTGGTTCTCCCTTAGAGGCTTATAAACATTAACCACCCAGAGGCTACTGATTTAGATAAGCATGCTATAAATTGACACTGCATGTAAATGAGCTGTCGTGCTGTGTTGTGGTGATTAATGCAACTGTAATGGCACACATTATCTTTTAAAGTTATGATAACCTGGGGAAATCACTTAAAGATAACCTGTTTTCTCTGTTCTCCTCGGGAGAGTATCTGCATTTTGGCTCCATGTAGCTTATCCTTACTTCTAATGCAAAAAAAGAAAATTAAAGAGAGCAAAGTGTATACTAAGACCATATTCTAGCTTTCATTGCCTTTACTCCTGCATGTTAATTTTCTTATGCAAAAAACCTGCTTTTGAGTTGCCTTGAGACTGGAGTTTTTTAATAGGCACTCTCTGGAAATCATACTGGTTTTGTTCCAAGCTCAAGATCCAGGTGTCAGTGCTGGCACTTAACTAATTGTTGCTGAACCCTTCATACTTTTGGCATGCTGGTAAGGCCCTGGCACTAACTGCTTGAGGCTTGGTTTGACTTAAATTAAGTCTTGTAAGAATTTGTCTTTCTTTGGCTTTTCATTCTGAAAGGATGTACTTTTCCTTGCAGGTTTTGCTTGTGCCATAATTCAGTATTTGTCCCAGTTTCTAAACAAAACAGCTGATCAATACTAAGGTTTTCTGTGACCTGTTGGTACAAGTTTCAATAATACACGTATGGTTAAATTTGCAGAAAAATTTGTTTCAAATGAAATTTAAACCAGAAAAGAAAAAGTTGTCTTTGGTTTTCTTAGTTTCCTACTTTGGTCCAAATCCTGAGATAGCTGGGGTTTTTTTGGCTGTGAAGCATTAACCAAATATGCTTGAGTAAGTATTGTAGAATCCCACATGCTTGGATCCAAGGTACATTTCCCCCTTTTTACTTGGGAATCCTTTGGGCTGTCTACCCTCTTTTGCCCTGTGCTCTACCACAGGAACAGTTCTGTCTTGCTAATTCTGACTGCTCTCCCTGCTCTTTTGTATCAGTGATAGCAGAAGGAGGAGCTCAGGAATCCTTGAAGAAAGACAAACTGTAACATGTGTATTCCTGGAATAGTTATTTGACCTCTCATGAGACTAGAAATGTCTTTTCATGGAGGGGCTCTTGAGAGAAGTGAATGAGTCGGGGAAGAGGATGGAGAAGGGAAAAAAAGAGCTGCTCCTAGTGATTGCTGGCAGTCACTTGGCAGGTGTGGGTACAGGGCAATTGGGGTTCAGCATCCATCAGCTCGGGCTGCAGCAAGTGCTGTATCTCTTCATGCTGAAAACCATGCGGCTTGAAAACACGAGATTTAGGTACAGAGTGGGGGCTTCCGTGAAAGCCTGTGGTGCTGTAAGTGCAGTGGCACACACCCTCTTGTGGCAGAAGGGAAAAGTCCCAGCTCAAACCAGCGTGGCCTCTTTTATTTTCTGTGCTCACTGGTTTGCCTTTCCTACTCTTCTTTTGTCTTTCCCTTGTGTTCAGTGAACATCCTTATGTGCTGTCCTGCACTTTTCTGTTTCATCTTTCTGTTTATGCAGCACCTGAATCTGCTCTGTTTGTCTTGCAAATTCTAATATTTCACTCTATTTCAATCTGATTTTATCAGTATTTAAAGTGTATTTAAACTCTGGCTTTAAAGTGCCTTTTCTTACTAAGTTGCCAACATATTGAAAATATGCCTTACAGATTAACTTTAAGGCATATGCAGGAGCAAAAGGCTGGAAAAATAAATAATGACATTCAAGAGCATACTAGTTTTGTTTCTTAAATAGCTTAGTTTGTCTGAACTATTGTGAAGGGGTCATGTATAGATTAGGAGATAACAGGCTGCTTTTCCCAGCTGTTTGATTAACCAGCTTAGAGATGGGTCAAATGCGCAGGAGCAGAGTGCGAGGGAGGCACATCATCACCTTCCAAGTGCAGGAAGGGCCCTACAGCATGTTTGCAGTTTATCAGATTTGCTGCATAATAAGCTGTACGCTCCATTCAGCACTCTAATTAACCCAGGAAAGCACTCTGCTTCAGTCTTTGCTGATAGCATGAACCTCACAAAGCCAAGCAGTCTCACCAAAGTACCTCTAAATAAGATTAAGCCAAGCGAACCAACCATGAAATAAAATGTAGGCTAAGTGTCGAGCAAATACTATTATTTGCTTTCATTTAGTACCAAGTACTGTACTTGGCATGAGATGTCCAGGCATTTAATGTGTGAGTAGCACTGGCAGCTCTTAACAAGTGCTGACAGATGAGACCTTAATCATTCATGTTTTCTCTCCGCAAAGAAAAGTAACCAAGTGTTGTATGAAAACACTTGTGAATGCATGTTGATGGTATTTCCCACAACTCCTAAACAGCCCATTGGTACTCAGCAGAGTTGGGAATCAAATGTTGGTGGGCTCCTAGAGTGTGGTGGCAGACCAGCTAACACTGGGATATCAGTGGAAAGAAGAAAAGCCAAGATTGTGGTGGCAGATTTATAAAAGGACAGATTCCTCAGCCCTGTTCTGAACTTTGTTAGAGTGGGTACAGACATACACAGCCCTCAAATCTAACGCCTGTTTGAAGAACAGATCTCATCTGTCTTTCTTTCACTTTTCAGGTATCTTGCAATATCTTCAGAACTCTCCCACCTAGTGACAGCAATGAATTTGATCCAGAAGAAGATGAGCCCACCTTGGAGGCATCGTGGCCGCATTTACAGGTTTTCGATTATTTACCTCAGAAGAAATGCTTGTCATTGCTTAACGTATCTCATAATTTTCTCAGCTTTTGTTTTTAACTTGTGAATCAGACCCTGTTAGTCTGTGAGACACTAACATTTATTAATCCCTTTCATGGCTATAATATAGTACCTACAGAGACGGGAGAGAACTTTCTGATATTTGCAGAATGTTAAAGCTTTCTTTAAAAATTCTATTAATGTAGTCCCTCATATATCCTGTTTTCCTTCACTGATTTAAAAATTATTTTGTTTTCCAAACTGCTCTGATGTGCAAGGGTTTTTCAACAACTTCAGCAAGAGCATCATGGGGATGATACTGCTGGCAGTTTTGCTTTACTGAGGGTAGTTTATATTCATACAGAAGTGCACAGGTGTTGGCAGCTGCTCAGAAAAATGAATGATAAACTACATCCCTAAGTCCTTCTTCCTCTCCTTGAGTCAAGGTTTGTTTTGAGGTATTTGTAGCAGGGCACTCACTGCTGAGTATTATCCCTTCCTCTGTGTTTCAGTTGTCAAAACAAGGTATTTTGAGACCCCCACCTGGACCAGTGTGTCCAGTTCTGGGGTCCTCAACACAAGAAAGTTGTGGACCTGTTGAGCGGGTCCAGAGGAGGGCACAAAGATGATCGGAGGGCTGGAGCACCTCTCCTACAAATACAGGCTGAGAGAGCTGAGATTGTTCGGTCTGGTGAAGAGAATGCTCTGGGGAAACCTCATTGTGGCCTTCCTGTACCTGAAAGGGAGCTTGTAAAAAAGAGGGATAGTGACTTTTTACATAGGCAGACAGTGCAAGGGGGAATGGTTTTTGTACTAAAAGAGGAGAGGTTTAGATTACATTTTAAGAGGAAATTCCTCACTCAGAGTGCACTGGCACAGGTTGCCTAGAGAAGCTGTGGATGCCCCATCCTTGGAGATGTTTAGGGCCAGGTTGGATGGGGTTTGGAACAACCTGGTCTAGTGGAAGGTATCTCTACCCGTGGAAGGTAGTTGAAGTGAGATGATCTTTAAGGTCCCTTCCAACCCAAACCATCCCATGATTCCATGATTTTGAACCAGGAACATAAACTAAGTTTGGAGAAAGCATCATCGGTATTAAGGCAGTAATTTCCTTTATTGAAAACATAGATGCAGATCCTTTGTGTGTTAGTCAGGACAATGACTTGCAGTACTAGTAAACTGAGAAGAAGTTTGACTGAGTAACATCAGTTTGTGGAGTCTGGGAGTTTCTGTGAGCAAAGGAGCACAATTGATCTCAGCCTGAAACGAGGATTGTATTTTACAGTTGCATGCACAATCCTTGCCTGTGAGCTGTTTGTTTCGCTCTTTTGTGCTCTCTCATTTAGAGTCTATGGAAATGTAGGTTCATCCCTCATTTATATTTAAATTTCACAAAAAATATGAATCTTAAAAGCTTTGAGGCAGCTCTGAAGAGCTCTGCTCTGCAGGCCTGGAAACAGCACCGGCATAAGTGTCTGTTACCTTGTGTTAAGTGACACTAGTGCTGTAGTTTTAAAAGTCATTACTTACATGGAAATGATGGAATTTCTTATCCAGCGGATGACTTGCCATTGTCAGGAAGAAATTCACCAAAGTATTTGTGAGGAGTCGATGGAATTGATTTCTTGATGATTCAATGTTAGTTATGTAAGCTGTCACTTTTTCCATGTCTTATTTCTAAACCTCTCTCCCCCTTTTTGATTTCCTATTGCTTCCTTGGAGAAGTCAGAGAACACTGACATAAAGTAGCAGCAGCAGCAGCAGTTTTGCAGCATATTGTTGTCATGGAAAAGTTTAAAACTGTTTAAAAATGTAATTTTTAAGCTTCCTTTCTGCTTTCAGTATCGATACTCAGACTCACTGAAGGCAGAAATGAGCAAGTTTTCAATGGCTGCTCTTTATGAAAAGGTTCAGCAAAGAGATTTGCTGGCTGGTAGCTCATTATCAGTGACAGATCAGAGTTGCTGTCTTATGAGGCCACAGCAGTCTCTGTTTCACTTCACTTTCTTGTTGCCTGTTTTTTATACTCTTCTTTTTCTCCACTAAATGAAAAGTCTGTTGCTGTCCCACTGAATAGTTTAGGTAGAGATGGAATTGCATGAAAATAAGCAGATTTTCTCCAGCCCCGAGGCTAATCTTTACTGTAAGTTAGGAACTTCTGAATAAATTCTGGTTTGTATTCTTCTTCTGTGTGTCAAGTAGTAGTAGAACACTACTCTAAGCAGTTTCTAATTTAATTTAAATATTTCCAACTGTTTCACCAACCCTTTCAGAATTGTAATGTCTGTATTTGATGTGACTTCAGCAGTTCAGAGGGCAGTTTAAATGTGCTTTCCAATTACTTAAGGAAGCTTTACAAGATGATAACAGGCATTACAAGATGGCAGTGCCTGTTCTTGGTCATGAAATGTCTTTGACTGGAGTTAAATAAGCAAAAGCAGCTTAAAAAACTCATGTAATTAATTCTAACTAAGACGTAGCAGTTTGATTTAGGAGGAAAATCGTTTTCATTTTTTAACCCTTTACTCTGTGGAAAAATAAGTGCTTAATTTTTTAACAAAATTTAGGGAAATACTAAAATATGAAGATTAATCAAGACATAAATTAACCATATTTTTTTTCTTTTGCAGCTTGTATATGAGTTTTTCATACGATTTCTGGAAAGCCAAGAATTTCAGCCCAGCATTGCCAAAAAGTACATAGATCAGAAATTTGTATTGCAGGTAAGCTGATGTGTTTTCTTTAAGGCTTCACGTTGCTTTTGAAAGAAAATTCCTTTAAAAAGGTTTTGTTCAGAATTTGAAAGTGAAAGTTTATTTGCAAAAGAAAAAGGCTATACCAGCATATACAATGGAAGCTTTCAATCTATGGAGGTGGTGGAAATACGTGTATGTGTTTATATATCAGTCTCTGCTGACATAAAATAGATGGTTTGGATCCAGTTTTGATATCTCAGTCAAAATATTGGACTTACTGGTTATGAGAGGAAACTGAAACAGTAACTATTGAGAAATGAAAGGTTTACCATCAAGTGTCAAAGTGCTGCTATCTAGAGAGTCTACTTAAATGCCAGTTTTAATGTGTCTTAATATTGTTAAAATGTTTCTGTTGGAAGGGGAGAATATTTCTCCCTTCTCTCTCTGCAGGAAGGGGCAGAAGTTCATCAGCAAAGCTATTTCCAGCATGGTACTGAAACAGTGAGGCTGTAGTGTTTGGGGAGGAAGTAAATCAAAGGGTGTATAAAGCTTGAGGTCTATTAAAAGCAGGGAAGGAGAAGCAGCATCAATAATAAACTACATGGGCAAAGAAGAAGTAGCTTTATTTTTGTAGTTTGCTTGCCATTGCTGTGGCTAAAGGGAAGAGATGACTTTCAGCTGCTGCCCAGGTATTTTACACATGTTCAATCTTTTCAATCTTCCTTGATTTCTTGTGTGCTTTGTTACTTCACTGGAACTACAGTAGCCGGTCCCCTCTACTGAGAAATTTTTGTCCAGGTCTTGACAAACACCAGAACAGAGGTGGTTGAAGGAAGTTGTTTTCTAGGATAAGCCAGGACACTCCACAGATACAACTGTTGTGTTCAGCTCTTGGGGATAGGCCTGTCTTGGGTTTTCTGTTCCCATGGTGAATTTTTTGTATAACCACAAAGTCAGAAAGAACTTCGTGTTTGATGCTGCCTATAGCTTGCTTTTGAAATCAGGGAAATTTAGAAGGATTCCTACTTAGTTAGAAAAGGGAGTTTCCTTGCAGGCTGACACTTGAATAAAAAACAAATTAGGAGTGATACTCAGCATTTCTGAAGACCTTTCTCTCACCCCTTATCATGGAGCTTTTACTTTTTCCCTGTAGTGCTCAGGAAATGCAAGTTGTGCTTTTACTGTTCTTGTTTGTTGTTTGTATGAAGAATACCTGGAAAATGTACTTAAGAGAGCAGTTTTCTGTCCTTATGCTCTAAGATTCGAAGAAGGGACTTCAGTTTCCTTCTTAGTGCCACAAGACCTTTTTCACCCTACAAAAGCAGTAGGATATTTATGGTTTTATTGTATCCATCTTGTAAAAACAAGAGCATTCTTCATCTGGATCAAACCTCTTGTGGTTTGCTTTTTGTTCACCTCAATACTGATTTGAACAAGGAGGTGCACCAATCTGATCATCCAGCACCTGGTGGAGATGTAAGAAGATGCATGAGAATCACTCTACAGGTTTTTCCAGGCTGGTTTTAATTTCTTTAGATATAGCAGGATTGCACTGGAATGAATACATGTGCACATGTTCAAAATCTAGTGAAAATAACTCTTAGATGCTCCTGTTATGTGCTGCTGAGCTTGGTCATGACTGGCAACATCCCACTCACGCCTTTCAAGACATTCAAACCTGGCACAGGAGAATGGGTCTAAAACAATGATTTTTTTATTTTTATTTTTAAATCCTGCTAGTCTTTATTAAGTGTACTAAATGAAAGAATGGTATCTACTGAAAAAGAGGAATATGGGATTTTAAAAACTCTGTACCAGAAAATGTATGTTATGACAATAGGTCAGAAGAATTCTAAGGATTCACGTTCTTGACACATGGTTTGGTGATGCACATTTATAAATTGCTGTGTACAGTGTGCCAATTTAAAATTCACATTTTTCTATAAAAAGTTCTATTGAGCCATATGTATTATAAGCAAGTAGTTATGTTTCCATGTGTGTAAATGTTTGTGTTTAGCCTGTAGGAAATGGGCTGTCCTTCCACTTTCTGTTATACTTGTTGTGTGTCTGGAGCAACTCCTGAGAATCTGTGAGCACAGATCACTTACATGGGGAAGTGATTTGAGACTAAAGGTTCATGAAGCATGTTTGGTGTTTCATGACACTGACAACACAAGTGTGACAGTCTTTGAAATCAGCTTTCTCTCAGAATTAATTTTTTTTTAATTTTATGAACTTTATTGGGGTGTTTCTTGGCAGTAAGAATGACTATATGAAAAAATGATACATTTTAATGCACTTTTTCCCAGGCTTTTTCTTGTTGGCTTGATTTTTGCCTTTGGTTTTTTAAATATGGCCGTGTTTCTGGCTTTCAGCTGTATGTTTTAATAAAATGCTGTATGTACCAGTGTAACTGTTCAGTTCTCAAGCCTGCTTATATACAGTCTGAAATGGTTGGCAGTGGTTGCTAAGAGACATACTATTCAAATATATCCACAAGTCTCTGTGTTATGTAGGTTGCTATTTTGGAAAATTTATTTCCCTTTTCTTTGTATGTTTAGAATAGTCACATAAATTATGGAAGTCTTGCAGCTTGTCCGTAAAAATAAGACTTTATTGTTGAAAACTGATAACAAATTGGACAGAGCAAAATAATAGTCTTATTTATTTTTTTCTAAATGAGAGGCTGAGCCTTAGTTTAGCAGTGTTTCCAGAGAGGATCTGTATAAGAGAACTGGAAATATAAATACTTTGCAATCCATTAAGAAAATGAAACACGTAAGTGTTTCCAGCTGTTTGCTGTCTTAGGGTGAAATGTGCTATTTGGGGAAGGATGAGGTGACTATTTATTTATTTAACTGTAGAACTAATTGAACAAAGCAATGTGTTTATAACCTCTGGAGGGCAGATGACAAACCTCATAGTTTCCTCATGAAATCCCCACCACAGATTCTTACTGCAAGGAAAATACAGTGAGATCTCATTACAAGCTGCAGAAACATCCAAAACAATGAAGAAGAGTATGTGCATCAGTTCTAGACCTGCATGTTAGAAGTCAAAATCCCAGACAGCTCAATAACTTTTAATCATATTTTTCTGCCTTTTTTCTTTCTCACCTCTTCAAAGTTGTATAGCAATTTAACAGAGATGTATGTAGCATACATACACTGACAGATCTACTTGTAATAGGTATTTATAATTTATCTGTTTGTGAATCTCAGATAATTTTGCTTTCTACCATTCCTGTAATAACTTTCTGACAGCATCTAATACATTTGTAAGACCTCTTTGGAAACTGTCTTCGTTTCTTTTGCAAGACAGGTGGTGGTTGACAGTTACTTTCTTTTTCATGCAAGAGAGATACTGGTTGCTTATAATTACTATCCAAAATTGCCTGTTTTATATGCATTTGGTGGTGGTGGTTGAGTTTTTTGTTTTTAAGTAAAGTTTACCTTCTCATTTTTTCCAAATATCCACCAGAATAGCCAGTGTTGTGGGGTCAAAAAATGAAGAAAGTGCCTAAGGGGAAGCTCATACTTTTGTGGTATAAGTGTAAAGGGGAATAAAACAAAGATCTGCAGGTGCTATTCCTGCTGCTCATTTCATGTCTTAATTCTTAGAGGCAACTTCAGGTGTCAGTGTTTTGGGATATATTTTTGGGATATATTTTGTGCAAGACAAGACACTGGAACATGTTTTCTTTTCACTGACTCTCACATAATCATTTTGCTGTTTTAAAATCTTATTTAAGAGCTACTTAATAAATGTGAGTCTTCTGTTGTTGGGTGGTTCTGCTGGTTTTTTTTATTTTGGTTTTGCTGGTTGTTTTGTGGTTTTTTTTAATTGATATTAATATTAATTAATTAATTCCCCCAGCGCTTTGATTTGTGTCAGTTGGTGGAGATCCTGTAACAGCAGATCCAGTGCTGGCATAGACCTTCCCCGTTGAGTCTTTCCACAGTGTGAAGGCCATGCAATCACTAGGAAAGCTTAAGAGCTCATCATATAAATTACAAGCAATTAGAAAACTGTGACCTTGACACAGTGTTGTGAGAACAAGAATATTAGAGCAAATGAGGATCTTTTAGTTCTGCAGAGTGAGGGAATGGTGGATGTTAAAAGGCAGGTTGTCTTCGTTTATAGATATTCCAGCATCTAAGAACTTAGGTTTTTATTTTGGGGAGAAGGAAGGAAGGCAGCATTTTGGAGCCAATTAATCAAAAATTTATTAGTCTGAGTTTTGTGATGACGTACTGGGGTTCCAACAGATTCTTTTAATACTGTATATCTACACCTTGGGTACCATGGATGTCACATTTTACATGCATGTGCTTTCATGAATTTACTTTTACATAGAAGTCTGTGTGTCACACTTGTCAAATGTGCCCTGTTTGAGTTCTCTTTTTCCTTTAAACGCAGCTGTTGGAGCTGTTTGACAGCGAAGACCCTCGAGAACGAGACTACCTAAAAACAGTCTTGCACAGAATTTATGGCAAGTTTCTGGGTCTTAGAGCATTTATCCGAAAACAGATTAATAATATTTTTCTACGGTAAGTTGTGGAAGAAGGTACTTTTCTCTCATGAACACTTTAGGAAACTGATATATCGCTTATATTTAACTTTTCTTTTTTTAGATTTGTTTATGAAACTGAACACTTCAATGGCGTAGCTGAACTGTTGGAAATTTTAGGAAGGTAAATGAGTCTTTATTTATTATCTGTCTCAGACTTCCTTTCTAGACACATCAGAATAGTATCAGATTCGGAAAAAGTATTATGATAAGCCCTGATTCTGAAAACAGATATGTGCACACGCTCATCTTTAAGCCCACATGCAAACCTCTGTCACATCTTTGCCAAGAATATAAACTAGATGCAAGTTACAGCCAAGTGTTGGATTGATTTTTACATGTGTGTGTGCATTACATTTTGTGTACTTCACCCTTACATGATGTAGAGTTTTTTTTTTTTTTAAGCACACTAGCAGTGTGAATGTTTTGAGTTAATCTAATTTTGGTAGGTTAATTACTCGAGACCACCTTGCTTACATGAATTTACAGACCACATAGACAAGGTCTTATCTGTTTGGCAGCAGGTTTGTTCAGCTGTTTATGTGATTATTCCTAAGTTGGAGCTGAATTGCTACCTAAAGATCTTGTGCCCTGCTAATATAAAGCAGGACCAAAGTCAGCACCTGTTTACAAATGGCATGAACCTGCTGTTTGTAAACAGGTGCTGACTGCTAAATATACTTTAATCTAGAAAGTGCTTGTGTAGAACCTCCATATTGTTTTCTCTGATAATGACACTAACAAATATTTCTTTTCTGATTTCTAGTATTATCAATGGTTTTGCTTTACCTCTGAAGGCAGAGCATAAACAGTTTCTGGTGAAGGTGCTGATCCCTTTACACACTGTCAGGAGTTTATCTCTCTTCCATGCACAGGTAGACATTATAAAAATATTTTCTGTTCAGAGTTATATCTTTTTAGGGTTGCTTTGGAAATTTAATTATGTAGCACATAAAAGGTGGGGGGAAAGTTCTGAAATATGGAAAAAATACAATAGATTTTTTTAAAAAATTCATTTGATGTGCTTTGTCTGATGGATATCTTGCTTCTGTTCCGATAAGGTACTTAAAATTGTTAACATACAACTGTAATAGTTTGGAGATTTTACTTAGTAGTTAAGCAGTCTCTGTAGGTTTTCCTCTCTGCTGTTTTCTCATTCTCACAAGTTTGCCTTTCCCATTCTCTCTCCCAAGAGGATGTTTGGGTTTCCTTAGTCTGGTGCTGTCAAGGCTCTTCTTCACCCTGGCAACTTTCTGAATTAAAATACCCACATTTTTGCATGATCTTCAACGTTCTCCCTCACAGATTTCTTAATACTGCATTTATGCTCTCAGATATCTTTTCATGCCTTCATAACATTATTTTTCCTCTGATAAGTGCTACCTGTTGCCTTTCTGTCTGATTTTCAGATAGTGCAGTATTTCTTGTGCTGATAAAGCTGTGCTTTCTAAATATGTTATTCCAGGGTTTAGGCATTGGCTCATCTTTCAAGAGTTCTCATGATTTTGCTGATGTATAAAATGTGTAAAAAGACACAGTTTGAGAGAGTAACAGAAGTTTCAAAACATTGGTTGTATGACTGTATTTAGAATTGCAAGTTGCTCTGATTTTAATTGTATGTGTTACTTTGTCACTTGACTGTTTTTGTAAAGTGTCCCCTTGTTTCTTACGAACTGAGCTTTCAGAGCACTTGCACAGTGCAAACTGTGCATCTCAGTTTGAAATCAGATACTGTTTGAGAAAGCTAAGTAGCACCTTGCCTTGAGTGTCTCTTTTTTTAAAAATTGGGTCCTTTTGGTTTCTTTATAGAAATGTTCTGACTTAATTCTCTTAAATTCTCACCTCTTCACAGCTGGCGTATTGCATAGTACAGTTTCTGGAGAAAGACCCCTCACTCACAGAACCGGTAAATATTTCTTTCGTACTTTTTTTTTCCTTTTTTTGTTCCTGAAATGGTTTTCCCTGTTGAGATAAAAATAAAAAAATCTGACTTTTTTTCCCTTCTAATTTAGGTCATTAGAGGTTTAATGAAATTCTGGCCAAAAACCTGCAGTCAGAAAGAGGTAAGTAGTGTGCTAGTATAACAAAACAAAAGAATTATTTTGCTTTAAAGTATAATAAGCAGGGAATCTTTAACTGTTTCCTGGTAGCTAACACATGCCGTGGTGAATCTTGGTATTTTTTCTTGGAGATGATTGATTTTTCTCTACTTGAATTCTGGCTTTTTGGACAATTTCAACTATGAAAAGTTTGATAACCATGATTTCTATTCACTAAATTAGCACTGGTACTTCTGCAGAGAACTGTTATGGCATTTTTTTTAGAGAGGAGAAAATAAACATAGTTGAGGATAGGGTGGAAAACTCTGGTAGACTTGGAATTGTTTGTATGTGAGGGTAGTATTTTTCCAGGGAGGATGAAAGATATTTTACTGTCTAGTGTTTATCTGCTATACATGTAAATGATGCAGTTAGGCCTTTGCATTTTTGTTTCAAATTCTTGATGCAAATCTGAGTTTCCCTAATGAGGTTTTGTGAAAAAGCAAAATCATAATTTTACCTTGTTTTTAGAAGCAATATTCAAAATAATTGCCCTTAGTTGGCAAAGTTTAAACTTTGGTCAAATTCTTTGTATGAGGCAAAGTTTTGAGAATTGAACCAGTATTCCATGCTAATTTTATTGTAAAGGACAAGTGCTATATTTGAAAAGACAGCATTTGAACACACTTGTCCTTTTTTTGAGACTGAATCCAGAAGCTGCTAAAGGTAGAACTGATCATATTATTGGAGAGGGTCTTACTGAGCTTGTGAGGCTTCCATTTCTCCCTGAAGCAGTAGAATGTGAGGGTTACCAGCATTTTGCTGATCAAGATGATTTAGAGGTTTTATATTTAATGCTTTCTTCCTTGTCTTTAGGTCATGTTCCTAGGAGAGCTGGAGGAAATCTTGGATGTAATTGAACCATCACAATTTGTCAAAATCCAGGAACCGTTGTTTAAACAAATTGCCAAGTGTGTCTCTAGCCCTCATTTTCAGGTCAGTGGTAGAGGTTATTGTTTGTACAGGAATGTATAGTCTCAGTTTCAAATGTAACACCCCTGCAAATGTAATTATTATTTTATGTTATGTGGTTTTAAATACTTGTCTTCTGTGGAAGAGGATACGTTGCAGTAGAAGTTTAATTCTGAGCTCCATGTTAGAGGTATCTGGGGTTACATCCCAGAACTTGCTGTTCTGAGCCCCACATAAGACCTTAAAGCTGCATCCAAGCAGTTTTAACCCTTCTGACTGCGGGTGACAGGTCCCTGCCATATAGACCATGTAGGATATATCTGCTCTCCATTTTTGATGCAGTATTGTTGTTTTCCGACTTACTTCCCTCTGTAACCAGGAGATGTCTGGTTAGAGGTGACAGAAAACTTATCACATTGCATAATGGGAAGGAGGGAAATGAATAGGATTTAGATGGAATCATACATGAAGAGGAGGTGGAGTTCATGGCCTGTGGTGTCTCCACATTAAGCCTGGTGACCTGTCCTGGCACAAAGGCAGATGAGATTTTTCAGCTCTTCCTTGGGCTACATTTATTTTTAGCATAATTTAGATCAGCATCCTCCCTCCTACTCCCCAGCTCCTCCCCAAGGTGATCACTGTCATTGTTACCTTCCCCACACGGAAGGTTTCTCCTCCCCAGCTATGGGGCCTTTCTCTGTCTCCTCCCTCTGGTATCCCAGCACTACTGTCTTTCTTCTGACTGCAGTCTTCCTGACTTTGAGGGAAAGGGGAGATGGGAAGTCTCTCTGCTCTCCCTTCCCCTCCACAGCTGCAGCATTAATGCAGTGTCTGCACCTGGTCTTCAGTGAGCAGCAACATATCGCTCAGGGGGAAGAGAGTGTGGATGCTGTGGGATCAGAATTATGGGATAGAAACTTAATTCCATTAATGCATGTTATGCTACTGATTGGAGTTGTTTAATTCCAAAACTAATGACTCCTGTTAATTTGTCTTTGTGAAGTTTCTCTGTGGTTTGTTTTTCCTTAAAATTACAAAATTATAGGTATCTGAATTCCTGTTAATAATTTATTCCTTTGACTCAAAGGTGGCTGAAAGAGCGCTGTATTATTGGAATAACGAGTACATCATGAGTTTAATAGAGGAGAACTCAAATGTTATACTTCCCATCATGTTTTCCAGCCTTTATAGGATTTCTAAAGAACACTGGAATCCGTAAGTTTTTTGTCTTTACACTTTATTTTACTGTTTCTGAATGGGAGAGATCCAGACCCAAAGCTGGTCTGAGCAAGTGCAACTCTGTTAATGCCAATATAAATTAGTCTGTACTTGAGCTTTTCTCAGAGTGTTTTTAATTAACTGGTATGTGTACAAAAATCACTACCTTATGGGATAAAAATAGACCTTCTCACAAGCTGGAAAAAAGAGAAATTAGATGTTACATTGTTATTGAAGAAAAAGTGTTGCTCATCAAGCTTTTCTCCTACACAGTTTTTTATAAACTGGTTGACTCTTAAGCCAGATTGTAAATTGTGTAGAGGGATATCACTTGGCATTAATAAAGCTTTGTGGCTGTATCGTGGACTGATACCTCTGGGAGACCTCTGGTACTGGTATTTTTTAAACATCTGTGAAGCATACAGACATATTCTTCTCAGGTTGCTTTTTTCTAAATTTATTTAAATACAGCTGTTCTCTATTACAGTAATTGAACAGTTACTTCATATTGATATCCTGATAATTAGGCATTTTTATTTTAAACTGAATGACCTAGTAGAAAGTGTTTTAATGAAAAATACTATTACGGTTAGATGCCACATATTCCATACTCGAGTTGAAAAGTTTTTCTAACTCAAGATGGTTACCATGTAGTAAACCCAGTATTTTTAATGAGCTTGTGCTACATTCAGGTCTCAGTTGTTTTAAGACCTTACTATAAAATATTTAATCTTTTCAAACATTAGTCTTTTTGTTCTGTACCTAGGCAAGCTCTCAAGTTTGTGTGCTTACCTGACAAATCTAGTGCTGCTGGAAAGCTTCTGTAGTTAACACTGGTCACAAAAAGACACTTTCCATAGCATTACCAGTCTCCAACATGCCCCTGCTCCTGCCTAAACCTTTATACTGTGCACTGGGATGCTTTTGGTAATGAGAATTCTCCACTGTCCCAGTTTGCAGGTTGTTCATACCCACAGGAATTTTGTTTCTTTGACACACAAGCCAGGTAAAGATACATGTAAAATAAAGAATATAATTTAAAGAATTTTTATATTTATAAGAAAATTTGCCACGTAGGCAACAAAATTAAAAGTTTATTGAAAGAAGTGAAAGAGAGACAGGGGTATGTGGGCAATTGCACATACTTTGTCTGCTGTATGGATTAGCTCCAAAGGTTCCTGGCACTTGTACTGTTGATTCACTGCCTCCTGGCTGAAGTGCTGTTTCTTAAGCAGCTCTGGGTCTGAATATGACAGCCATAGTAGTGGATCAGGAACTGTGAAAGGGAAAATGAATATGAAATGTATGAGTACAATCACTCTTGAAATGCAGCCTTGTATTTTGCATAGAGGCAGTGAATATTCAGCTTCATAGAAAAGTCATAAGGAAATATGAATCACTCTCATTTTGTGTTTGAATTCTATTCCTTCTGCCAGCATTGATGATTTGAATCCCTGAAGTTGCATTCAGAACTGCTCCACAGCATGAGGGAAGAGTCTGTAGTTATATGTAATGGCTTTCTGTTGTTACCTTTTACCCTGGAGTTTTGGCTTTCTCAATTTCAGTAGTCAGTAGAGACAGGAAAGCTGATTCTCACCTTTAAATATGTTAATCAAAAGCAGTTTCACTGAAATCGAAGAATTTACATAATCATACTTGCAAGAACAGAATTGGTCACAGAAAGGCCGGGAAGGGAAGACGCTTTTATTTCACGTTTGATTTCACCTGCAACTAATGGACTCCTTTCTTCTTTTTCAATTTTTCACAGGGCTATTGTGGCTTTAGTCTACAATGTGTTGAAGGCATTTATGGAAATGAACAGCACCATGTTTGATGAGCTGACAGCCACTTACAAGTCAGATCGTCAGCGGTAACTTTTTAAAGCTTTTTTTTGTCAGCTGTGCATAAGGCCTGCTGTTTAGTTTTTCCCTTATGTTCAGGTGCAGTTGCATAATCTCACACATGGTAGGCACAGTGCCCCATTTTTTCCCTTGCCTGCCCATTAACCTTCTCCTTGCAAGGTGTAAGATTATATGTGCAGGTTGCTCTTTACCCTTTATTAAATACAGTATCTGTTGCATTGCTTGGGAATCCACATTGTCCAAGCAATTCCTTTTGACTCCCCATTCCGAGAGACTGAAGCATATCAGGGTCTTCCATAGTAAAAAAAAAAGAGTTTAAAGATAACACTTTGCTTTAAGACTTCACAAAAAAAAGTTACACTGAGCTTTGGAAAGAGACACAAGGGAAACCCCTAAGATTTGTTTTCCAAACTGCTGTTTGTAGGCTGGATGTGGTCTTAAAGCAGAGAGGCCTTTCATTTCTTATTCAGAGGTCTTGCTCTGTATCTGAGTCTTTTAGCATGCAGGATCCATTAAGGACACCACTCATAGAATCATTAGTTCTACCCCAGTAGGTTTTTGTCTTTTCTTTTGTTTTCCCTAATCTTCATTTTCCAATTACAGTGCAGCATCTTTTCTCAAAAGTTTTGCCTCATGCAAAGTGTCAGGTGAAAAAAATGAGGAAATTTCAGGAACTCTGAACAATTTGCAACTTCATTTAAGTCACACCTTCTCTGTGACTCAGGGTTTCCCCCAAAGCGAAGCAAAGCAAAGGGCACTGCATGTCAGCAGACCTTGTTAGTACAGTCTGGAAAGTCCCTTGGAGGCTGTTTTTTGACTTGTGTGACTCCAGTCACACTGGCCTTTTGTTTGGCTTTGTTTGAATTTTATACACAAAAAATCATTCGTTAATATGGTATTTTACCATAGTTCACTAATATGGTATGGCAGTGGTAAAAAGAGTTCATTAATATGGTATTTTACTTTTAGAGACTTGGAGATACATTTGAGTGAAGATGCCAGATCAGTTCTTGATAGGTGTTGATAATTAAGATTCAATCTGCTAGTGCAGTTGAGACAACAGTGGTTTCTTAACAAACAGGCAGAGAATTTTGGGACTGGTCATCAAATCCAGCCATTCACTAAGGGAGGTTGGTGACTTAAACCAATTTGCAGTTGCACTTTGCCCCCTAAGATAAGAAACTCTGCTCTTAACAGGACCAGACACTGAAGTGGAGTGTCCCATGGCTGGATAATGGGGAGGTTTATTGGCTGAACTGCACAAAGAATTTTTCTTGCCCCTGCTGATGTTGTATCTCCTGTTCAGGGCTGGTGCTAAGCATTTCACCATTTCTGTTTATGGCTTATAATTTTAAAACATGCAAATACCTGAAGGTATAAACTGCTGGCATGTTTACCTTAATGTTTCCAGAAAATCTTTAGCATTTTAATAAAACCACATATCAAAAGGGTAGCTATGATACCACTTAAAACTTGAGAAATATGTTCAAGATTAATGACTAGGAAAGGTCAAATAGGTAAGTTGGATGAGGTGATCATCCTCTAACAGCCCTTTAGGTAAGCAGGCATATATTTCATAATGATTAGAGGATAAATATTGTTAGGTAACCTGAAAATGTAAGGCTATTTCACTTATTCTTGTATTTAATTTTAAATACTTTTAGTAACAATGGGCTCTTTTTTTTTCTTTACTGTTCTTGGGGGATTTGTCTGAAAGTTGTTTGTATTTTTTTTATAACTTTAAAATACTCTTGGGAAATTAAAATTCTAAATAAATGAGCCAGATGTTGGTATTTTGACTGAATCAAGATGTGCAGAGATGTTTCTAATCCGCTGAAATATTTTTCAAGACTCCTCTAATGTGACTAGCAGAGAATCTGTATTTCTGTCATTGTTAAGATTTCCATTCCCTCTAAACCTGTAAGGTGATGTAATAGAACTTGAAAGCATTTTGTACCTTCCAGTACCAAGGAGATTTATTCAAAGTAAGCTATGGCAGAGACAGGAAACTTAGAAAGCAAACAATGCAGGTAAAGTAAATGTTAGATTTGCTGTTTAATTTTGTCAAATCAACCATTGAAGTCTGTTGTTAAAGCAAATGCTACATAGATCTTGTAGGAATTTGGTGTGGAAAAAGAGTGACTCAGTGAACAAAAGGCAGATCTTTTAGCTTGAACTTCGCCTTGGCTGGTGCCTAAGCTAAATGGAAGCCACCAGTCAGTTAAGTAAGAATAGCAATTCTAAAAGAATCAGAGAAAGCTTTTTCTTGGAAGTGGCTGTTATTTTTAATATTAAAAAATGCCATGCTTAAATAAACAAACTTGAAAATAATTAAATAATTTAGTTCGTAATGTTAATTTTTATAATCTTGATCCATTAGGCCCATAATAAAAGTCCACTGCAATTTTTTCTTCCTCATTACAAGTTAGTGTCTATGAACACTGTCACTTTGCTCAGCTTATGTTTTATGTTCTTCTCATACTGCTTTTAGTTCTATTTATGTAGGTAGCAAAAAGGAAAAAAAGAAAATATCTTAAAAAATTAAATTTATTGGGAAAATTGCAGTTGTGTTTTTGAAAATCAGTGCAGCTAATAATGTCAAATATATATATTTTAACATAAATATTATACAGTCTTCTCTCCTGCTAACACTTTGTTTTGTTTCATCTGTCAGTGAGAAGAAGAAAGAGAAAGAACGTGAAGAACTGTGGAAAAAACTGGAGGATTTGGAATTAAAGAGAGGTCTTAGACGTGATGGAATAATTCCAACTTAACAAAAAAACAAAACAGCATTATTAACCTGTGGAGTCACACATTTATGTAGTAGAAGATGGAGCAACAGTTTTCTGTATTGTGCAACTTTACAGTAGATTTCACATTTGTTTCATTATTACAACAGCACTGTATATACCTGTCTCTAAGTAAAGGAAAAAAATAAGGACTTTAATCCAAAGTTTGGACAACAGATGGACTTCTCAGAACTTTGCAAACATAATCATTGTTTTAACCCTTCTTTAAAACCAGTCTTCAAAGATCTGTTGATGAAAATTGCAATGTCAAATTCCATTGTCAGGACCTGTTCCTTATTTATCATTAGCAGAGAGTATAATACAACTTTCAAATGTGAACAATCTTAAAATTTAGCTTGTCTTTCTGCTAAACTGTTACGTGTATTTATAGTAAAAGAGAAAAAAAGACTGTCATTTCCTTATGAGTTTGTGTAACATCCTCCTTCTCTGGATAACTTTACTGTAATTTGACTTTTTTTTCCTTTTGCACATCTTCATGAGTTGAATGTCCATTCAGATCAGGGCCATGAAAAACATTGGTCCTGAATAAAAGTTTTGTTTACTGGTGTGAGAATTTTTTTAGTACCAGGCTGTCTCTGGTGCTTCCTTAATTTGAACATTAGGAGTTAAAAAAACAAGTAGGTGATAAACATAGTAGGAAAGGGAGCTTTGGATTCATGCACCTTTTTATTGCAAATCCAAATTAGTGTCCACAATCCTTGAAAAAATGGGCAGTGGTAACACCCTGAACTTCAGTACCTAACCAGTATTAGTGATGCAGCATTGGAGACATGTACCAGAGTTGGTTTAGAAACACTAATTGCTAAATTATTACAGTATGTTTTTATTGGACCATTTAGAAAGAATACACGTGCTAAACAATATGAGCATGAAATTTATCTCCAGTGGTCATGGATCTAATTGGAAAATGAGTTGAGATAGCAGTTTGGACAGTTTGGAGTTGTTGCCTTACTTTTTAATATGTATTTATAAAGTGTTCCAGCAAAAGAGGATGTAGCCTCTAAAAAACATACTCTAGTGTTTTTGTGGTTCTAGTACTATTACTCATCACAGTACCAGCCCTGTGGTCTTAGCTGGAAAGGATTCTGGATAATACACTTCTGCATTCTCATCTGGATGCTCATTCCTAACTACTGTATTTGTTACCAAAAGTGGTTCTACAAATGCTACTGAAAAAAAAAAGAATTCTGGAAATCCTAATGTTCTGAGTATTAATAATAAAGTTTAAAATGCTTTTATATCAAAGGTGCATTGTGACCAAATTGTTTAAAACAAAAGAGGAAAAAAAAATTTACAAAGAACAAAAGAAGAGGGCTGTATTATAAGTATACATTATTGGCTATCTGCTTTGTATTTGAAAGTGGAATCTTACATCTTTGGTAGGTAAAATGCTGATAAGACTTATGTACAGTATATATTTAGCTAATGCAGTTGCATTATTATATACCAGAAGGTATGTGTTTCGGGATTTTTCTCCAGGATGCTTTTGAACTGTTATAGACATATGACAACAGTGAATTGATAATCCTAAACCATCAATCCAGCAGTATTTACAGTATAAAACTGAATTGGTGTTCATGAGTCTTTGTGATAGTTGCAAACATGAATTTATGACCTGTTGCCATTGATAGAAATACAATATAAATACAAGCTTGTATATTTTTCTTCCTACCATTTAAATATACAGTAGGATTTGAAGTTTTCTTGTTTTCAGGCACGGAAAAGAGGTAAAATAGAATTCCCTCCTAGACTACTGACTGTTTCAGGATTATCAGGTCACAGTTTGTACTCCTGGGTCTGCGCACACAAATGTTGTAAACTCAACGTTTTGTAAGAACTTGACACTGTTAATTCTGGAAAAAAAAAAGTGGAACTAGTCATATGCAACACCAAACACCACATGGTTTTAATGGGATAAAAATGAGCTTCTTTTAAGAACATTGACTGGGACGCAATGTAAATTAGGCAGTTACTGTCATAGTTGAAACATTTTATTTTAAAGTGCTGAAGCAAAGGTGCAAGCTGAAATACTGAAGATTAAATAAATTTATAACAAATCATGTCCCTTAGCCCATTGATTTTGACAGTCTTTTATTTCTGTTACCAAAAAAAAAAAAATATTTGCTAGTGTGACTTCTGTGTGAAATGATCATACAGTACAAAAGGGTGGACTCAAACTCATGCTCAAAGACTTATGTTCCATTGTGAAAAACTGAGATAGAATGGAGGACTAAAACTTCATGTTTTTCACCTGGTGGAGTAAAACACAACAATGTGAAATTAGAAAAAGCACCTTGTCCTGTACTTAGAGTTTTAGGTGAGTGTTGTTTGTTCATAACTATTTTTGGTTTCTGACATGTCATTCTGCTATTGATCATACAAGACTGACGAGAACCTGATGGGTTGCAATATTTTGTTACCTCTGATTGTTACCTCTGATGTGGGGATAGTGGGGTGTATCTAAAGTTTATAGATGACTTATCACTTCCGAGAAGGAATGTTTAACGTGAACGGGACGCTGTGATGTTATTAGTCACTTGACTCTAAAGGCTCACACGGCAGTAGGTTTGCACTGTGCGATGTACCCAAAAGAAGCACTTGCCACAATGATACGACCGTACCCCCGGGACCCACAGGCTGCCGCAGTCCCAACGCCATGTCCTGCCCTCTGCACAGCTCCCACTGCTGTCACTCGGAGCTGCAGGCCCAGAAGGAGGCAGCACACGGGCCCAAGTGTGATCAGTGCGTCTGTTTAATTAACGCTTTTCGTTCGCTTCTTGAGTTCCAGAAACTACCTTTGTTTGTGTAAATGTTGTTGTTCACTGCTCGTCTGGCAGTCGTTGGGTGGCCGCTCGTGTCCTGGGCCATATTGGTTTCAGGAGAAAGGATTGGATGCTCTCTGGTCAAAGGAAAAGAGCTGCGTTTTCGACACTAGGGCATTGCATCGGGTCATGGGGATGTAACAACTGTAAAAGTAAAGTTCCTCTCATACACTTTAAATTGAGCACACGTTGCTTTCTTCATCCTGCAAGTCTCCCTTATTGTTTTCCTTTCGTTGCTTTCGAGTGTTTTTTGTCTCCCTTCCAAAGGTTGGAATGCTTTAAATAAAAGTATTCTAATGCCATTGGAGCGTTCACTAGCAGGCTTATGGTAAATTTAATCCTGGTTTTGTTAGCATAAATAAAAGGGCTTAATTTATTTTTTTATCTACTCTCATATATGGAAAAATCGAGGGTGTTGGAGCCAAGAATTGCTTGAGTAAGAAATGGAGCAGCTGTACTTACATTATACGTGCATAAGTACAGCCTCAGGCTCTCTCACTCTGTGGAAAAGAAAATATATTAGGAGCTCTAAAAAGCTCTGTATTGTTTTGTGAGGAGCAGGAAAGACGAGATTCTTCTCCCTCCAAGTAAAACTGAAATGGTTTGCTTTTAGTTCTGTCTTGGAAAACAAAGATGCCCTTTTCTCTTAATTGTATGACAGCACCATCCCAAAGTAGTTGCCCTAAAAGAAGACAAAGATGACAATGCTCAAGATTGAAGAATGTTTTTATTTACATGTGGCTTTTTTATTTTGGCTCACATGCTTCCCTTAGCAGCTCTGGAGTGAGCCATGAATTAGTTTTTCCTAGTTGGTATGTGCAGCATATTTTATATAGCCCAGTTTTTCATTTTGAAGTCTACGAAGCAGTATCTTGAAACAGAATGGAACAGATTTTCATTGAAAACTTTTATCCAAGTGTTACTTCCCATCCACAGAAGCGTACGCTTTTTATCATGACCTCTCTGAATAAGAGTTTTTGTTATTTGGATCACTCTTAACTGTAAATATGTTGTATTCATAACCTCATGGACCCATGAGGAGTTTTCAAATATAAATAGTACCGATACATTTCTTGTTGTTGTCCTATTTTTGACTGTAGTATAGCGAATGACCTGTCATGCTTTTTGTTTCAAGGTTAGCATTAGATTCATAGATCTTAATATTTTAGCATTTCATTGTTTAAGCAGGAGAGGGCAGCAAAAGTTCATTTTTCCCCATAGGAATGCTCTGGTCCCATTACTGTTTTTAAACTTAGTTGCATTTAACTATCTGTGGGTAGGGGGGAAAAATGAAACACTTTTTATATATATTAAAAGGTGCATATGAAAATATATAGACTGGTCCAACCAGACTGTGAAAATGTCTTCTACTCTACGTCCAAGTAACAATAAAAGAAAAATATCTTCCACCTCTGGATAAAGTACAAGCAGGTCTTAAGCTCTTGGATTCAAATGTCATTCTTTGGAAACAGTTTACTTTCTTAAAAATGGTATCAAAGAAACTCGAACTCAATGGTGCTCCCAGCTATAAATGTGTAATCTTCCTCTTTTGCACTTGCTAAAGAGGCTCTGTACTGTGGGTGCATCTAAATAAAGAAGCAATGAAGTGTTTTCCAGGTGCTTGGCTTTTTTTTCCACCTCCTCCCATCTAAACTTCATGTAACTTTTCAGCAGTGAACTTCCAGCGATCAGATACCCATCTGCATGTATTAAATGTGAGGACACTTGTCTGGAAACAAAACCCGAACAGCGAGGTGGTAATTTAAGCTTCAGCCAGAATTACCATAGTAAACACTTGGTTTTCATAAAGTTCATTTTTTTAAAGGTCCTCTCATCGTGGTGAGCTGCACACAACCCCACCTGTGAGAGAGGTCAAGAGCAGTGGATGCAGGAAAAAGGCATTAGAGCCGCACATTGATCTTTAGGATCTCTTTGAGCCTTACACTTTGCAGCTGGTGAAGGAGTTTGTTCTTTTGTAGCACCATTCTCCTGCTTCTGTCCTTGTGCTGTCCTGCCTTGCAGTTTGGAGGCGAAGAGAAAAGCTTAAGATGGTCACATGCGTGGGGGAAACCCTCTGGAGAGGATCACGGAGAGAGCCTGGTAAGGGGCACTGCTGGTGAGCGGCTTCAGCAGCAGCACAGAACATATGGTTGCTTCCATAAGACTGGAGAAAATATTTATTAAACATCTACTTCTGATCTTTAAATACCACTTTTTTACATGAGTTATTCCAATAGTCTAATTCTTAATTCCTTCCGTTTTGATTTTTTCCAAAGTACATTTTCAGCAGTTGGATCTTGCTTGCCTTTGTTAGAAGAGCTCATTATCACAAATCTCTTTAAGTACTTGTAAGACAATATTTAGATCACTTAACAACCTCAAATCTCTTTACTTTCTTATTGCAAGGCAAGTATTTTCTAAAGAAGTTTAAAAAAAAAAAAGATGAGAACATGCAGTAAGTTAGCCTTCAGGGTAGGATTTGTCTTCTTGCTTGCAAGCTGGAAAACAACCTTTACAAGATCGAAATTAAAAACTTAAATTAGTTTCCTACTTTCGGTAATGATAATTGCTTTGCTAATTTTTCATCTTTGTCTTTGCTTCTCAGGGAAGTTTTGGTTTCTCATATACTAGCAGAGTGCCTGGTTTATCTTATGTTAGGTTTGAATGACAGATGACAAGTCTGTAGCCTACAAAAGTAGCTTTGTGTGCAGATAAAGGGTGTTCCCAAGGCTGTATTGATTAGTGGAAACAGATACAAGGTCTTGCATTGTGAGTTTGGAGTGATCTATGGTTTTAAAGATTTTATGCTGAAGCCAAAGCAAATATCCTGAATTTGTTAGAAAATACCTTGAAAACGAGTGTGAGCAGTGGCCAAAGGCTTTTGTGCAACAAGTCTCCATCACATGAAAAATGGCCATACAGAAACTTGATTTTTCACTGTTTTTATGCCTGGTTGGTTTTGGTTTCTCCCCTGTCCATTTTGTCTATTCAGTACTGTCTTCTCTTGAAATCACTGAAGGTGAGACAAGTTAGGGGTCACTTGGGAAGGATGGAAAGCTTGCAATGCATTTAAAGAAATGTATATTTTTTTATAGAATGGTTCATACCTTTGATACACACTTGAAAAGTCTGGGAACTTGTCATACCTTTGATAAACAGTTGAAAGTGTCTGGGAACTTGTCTTGCATTATACCTGGGTCTGGGAAGGTCTTCCAAAAAGAGGATGAGAAAGGGATATTCTGTACGCCTTCTGAATCTTGTTTCCAAAATTCTTACTTTGCACCACCAGGGACAAGTTTTTTCTTGGGTACAAAGCCTCAGTGCTTTCCTGACAGAAAAAGCAGCAACCCAGCAGTCTGTGTTCATGGAGCACTGAGGATCCTACACCAACCTTCCAGCCACAGCAGGAGCACACTCAGGCATAACTGCCCTGACAGCAAGGAAGGAAAGACCTTGTGTTTGCATGAGGATTTGTGCAGCCCTCCAGCAGCAAAAGGCCTGAAAATCTTTTGTGAACTCAGCAGGCTCGGGTCAGTTTTGAATCGTCACCTTCTGGTGAAGCACACGTGGTTTAGCTGTGTGAGCAAACTGGACAAGTGGTCCAACTCAGTTTTACGTTTTAATATTAATTCTGCAAAATGTACTGAGTAGGATTTCGTCTTATGCTCATCAGTCATCCCTAAGACCATGCAGTGGCTCCGCTGCTTTTCTAGATCTTACTTTGGCTTTGTATGTAATGTGCATAAGTGGAAAATCACTGTATATTTAACTATCTCAAACCCAGATGGGCATCTGCATTACGAAGTCTTCCAGTTCAGCCATCCTGGAGGAGACAGGGTCAAGTCTGCAGTTGGCAGATCTTGGAGTAACTTGGCAAAACACACTCTTGATTTCTGGAGCAAGAAAATGTGGAATTCAGACAGTGGTAATTAGTTTGTTAGTCCACAGGCTATTTCACAAACACAAGGGGTTATTATTGCTCTTTGCTCTCCGTGACACTCATCAGACAGTAATTGTCACGGTTAGTGGTTACGAACATTTCGAACACCAGTTCTGGCCAGACAAAAGTGACTCTCAGGAATACAAAGGAAAGAATATTTCCTCCTGCAGTGTGGTGCCCCTCGCTGCCCCCCTTTCTCTTGTGCTGCTGAGTGATGCACCTGCTGCACAGAGGCTCTTGCAAACACAAGTGAGGACTTGAAATGGGCTAAATTTAAGCAAAAGGTGCTATTCTAGTCAAAGATGTCAAAAGGGGAACGTAACTCTGGACCAGTGGGCATTTTACCCTTATCCAAGCAAATGCCTTTCCATGTGGTTAGCTAAAGAA